GATGTAATTTATGTGCACTATACATGGCATGGGACCCATATCAAATACGGCACAATTAACAACTGCCTGGTCAGGTTACAAAGCAATATGGGGAAAATACAGTTACTATGCACTTACTTTATAAATGACAGATGTAAGTATTGAGTTCAAAATAATTCGTATTTCTCAATTACCGGTATGTGAAATATGAGAAAAGGAATTTTTTGATTTATGTGCGCAAATACAATACATTCAATTTAATATTTTTAAATACGGCAACTTAACATGTAATGTATACAATATCAGAAAGTTAGAATATAAGAGAATAAGACTAAATATGCTCTACGGTTCTTAATGTTTGTTTCAAGTATTTAGGACAAGTTAGAAAAATTGTGTTGTGAAGAATTAAATTTTTTTTTCCATAGGGTAAACCAGCTTCGGTCATTTCTTTTGTGAGTTGTTGAACTTAATGAACAACAATTGGTTTATTAATTGCTGCTTGTTTAGTACATTCAGTCATTAATGGACATGTCTATATTTTTCATTGGACAGATCTTTGAGTGATACAGCTTCAGAATTATTACATTTGAATGAATCATTCTTTTGATGAAAAATATATATAAAATACAGCATTTTTTACCAAAATTGACAAAAATAGTCACTAATGTTAAAGGATATTATGCTCATATGTGATGGAAGTACCTAGATATCAGGTATTAATGTAAACATGCAGACAAAGTGGAATTCAAGAAAAAATATTAAAATGGCATTTTTTTACTAAAAATGACAAAACAATTGATAATACAGTAACATATAAAAATATGAAGTTGTTGCCAATGAAAATGAAAAAAAAAGTACCAGGTATTAATTATAGCTCCATTCAGTCAACTGAACACCAAGCTAAAAAATACAATAGATTTTTTTTCCTATGACATGTCTAATGTCTGTACTTTGTGACCAAAGCCAAACTAAGTTTTGTTGTACCTTATCGGGTTCAACTGGATCAACGATAGCTGCCTGCTTGGTGTTTTCATCCACCAAATAGATACATGTAGTTGTCCTCTAAGGCTAGGTAACAGACGAATCTTCATGTCA